CCAAAAACAGTGGCGTAAACGAGGGGTCTTTCAAATTATGGGCCGTTCAAAGGGTTGCTACAAACATATACTCATGATTATACGGGGTTTCTAAAATAGTATACTCACTGCTATAAGGGGTGCCAGCAAGTGGCCATAATTCACAACGACTCTCAAAGGGTTTTGCACGATCTGGGTGCTGGAATATGTTTGGCGACAGGTGCCAGACTGCGAGTAAGCTGGGTAGGAAGGAAGGTTCTCTGACAGATGTGTTCTTTATTCTGCAATGCTTGTTTATCTCTCTCTCTCTCTCTGTCTCTCTTTCTCTTTCTCTCCATCAGCATTCATCGGATTTGCAGGATCTGGCCCAACAAGGTCTCCGAACTGAACAGCAGGCAGGTTTGTTGACATGATGCTGTTTTCTCTTCCCGTTTCAGGCTCTAATCTGTGAGCCGCACCGCTCGGAAGCAAGCATGTTGCAATTACACAGAAGCAGTGCAGGGCAGTCAGCAGAATTGCAGTTTCAGCAAGCTCACTGGCGTGTCGCAGTCCTCATGAGGAAGATTGATGAGGTGTGTTGGGCCACCGGTTGTAGCTTTGGTTCAACGAAAGAAAGCCGCCGTGCGTTGCCAGGCTGACCCTTCAGCTGATCCAGAGGCAGTGCTTTTTTCAAGAAGACAGCTTGGGTTTGTTAGCTTCATAGAGGTTTCTCACTGACGAGCCGCTCTGTTACCATGCATAGTAAGGAGTTCTCTATTGTAAGGGACGACCATACCCTTAACCCTAACCATAGCAGACCCTTGGTTTCTTACTGTGCACGGTATGGATGTTGAGTCTGACATGGGCGTGCTGAGAGGATCAGTGGACTTTTAAACCCCAAACCCTGAAGGGGCCCGTAAAGCCATAACGCACCACCTGCTTGCGAAGGGAGTGCGTATTGTTTCGGTCCTTGGTTTATTGGTGGGTCGGGGGCGAGGGGGGCCGAAAGGCCTCCGCAAGGATGGCAGCAACGACGGAACTAAAGAAAGAACGCAAGGGAGAAGAGCCGCAATCGCCCGAGTTTCGTGCAGTCCAAACTTCGTCGAACTGGGGGTTTGGCGACCTCAGGCAGGCCAGGAAAGCAATGAAAGCCGGCAACAAAACAGTACTGAACAAAAGGACCGAAATACACCTCCACCCCTTACTAAGTCCCTCCCAGGCTCTAAGTCCGGGTAAGATCCAAAAGCTTTTCAAAGAAAGATCGGGTCCCTGAGGAGATGCGTAGGGTTTGGATTTGGATTTAGGCTCTGAGGTTTAGGGTCCAGGGTTTAGGGATTGCGGTTTAGGGGTTTCAGGCTTAGGGGTTTACGATTGAGATGTACTTGTGACATGGTTGGTGTATGTTTGCTGTCATTGGCCGTTTGAACACCAACGAGACTGAATACTCATGAGAAAGATATGTCAGGCGAGGCATGCAGCTGCGTTGCGTTTCCTTTGTCAGTTCCTCCCTCGTCTTGTTGAGCGTAGCAAGTTCTCAAGTGGTTGGCTTGACTGGGGTTCGCAGGGTTTGGGACCAGGGCTCATGCAAAACAAACGCTCCATGCAGCTGCCGCAGGTTCGGATTGCTATGTTTTCTGCTCGCTTCAACGCAAAGAACAAGGACACCGAAACGCTTTTCCGAGCGGTGTGCAAGCTGCTACAAGCACGTGGTCTCACAATTCTCATGGTAGATGCAGAGGCGGGGGATGATTTCGGCATGTTGACTGCAAGATATTTGCAGCAACTGAAGCAGGCAAGAGGTGTGATGCTCTCAGTCTGCACAGCAGACTACGCAGAGAAAACCTCCAGCCCCTATTCCTCTTTTGCAGAGCTGAAGTTCGCCCTGGACAATGGCATAGATATTATACCTCTGAGGGTTGACGACATCTACCCCCCTCGGCCGCCGTGTGGTGAAGACCACGAGTTTGACAAACACTGCTACGCCAGAGGCATCGTCTCCAGGTCAATACTGGGAATCCTTGTTGCTTTTTGTGTCTTGGGTTATACTTATGAGTATCTATAACCCCGTATTTCAACAGAAAGACCACGAGAAGGATCGTTGTGTCTTTCACTCAGGTAAATTTGGCCATGCCATCCTCATTGGTCTTCCTGGAATGCAGGATGAAGACGAAGGACGCCCTGCGCACACGCACGGTCACGAAAGCTAGTTCTTTTGGAGCTTGCGGGAGTTGTTGATTACAGACTTAGTTTGGGACACATGAGACTTTCAGGGGCCTTAGATACCGATATATCAGGGATTTCAGGTTACGCGGGGGGCAACATTATTGCCTGATAAATTGGTAAAGCTGTTCTCTAGATGAGGGGGGCGGGGGTGGAGGGGGCGGGTAGGGCATTGTATTTACCATTCGAATCTTTGCATGTGCCGGTTGCGTCGGGAAAGTGGCTGAGGGAGATTCTCTGTTATTCTTTGTGCGTAGACGTCTCACTGACCTCCGATTAGTTTCTGAGCTCATGCAGTCAAGCGTGTGAGAAGAGAACCGACATTCTTGACCCTAGCTTTTTTCCGCACTGCTCTCAAGTCTTGTCAGCCACGACAACACACCTTTCAAGCAAGCCCAGACTCCAACACCTACCCAGACCCACACCCTAACCCTCAATCGATCCTTGTTCCGGCAGAGGAGCAGATAGCGAAGGAAATCGAAGCGCGTTTGAGGAGTTCTACCGAAAAGCAAGGCAGCAGGTCGGACTCAAAGTTGGTCCCGGAGCGCAGGCCCGCGACGAAGGACGCCGGGGCACACGCACAATCCCGTCAGACACCACAACACCCTCCCAGCAACCCCAAACTCTACGCCCTAAACCCCAAACCCTAAATCCGAAACCCCAAACCTCGGACCCCTCAACCGATCCTTGTTCCGGCGGAGGAGCAGATAGCGCAGGAAGGCGAAGAGGGTTTGAGGACTTCCACCGAAAAGCAAGGCAACGGGCCTTGCCCGGTGATACCTACGAAGCATCTCCTACACTCTTCCTGAACATCCTGGCTAATTTCAGTATAGAAATTGTCCTAAGGGGGAACTTTGTTTAGCATCATCGTTTCTTAAGATGGAACAGCCAGCTAAGTTCAAAAAGGGCCTCCGAGAACAACTTGATCTTCTTGAACCCCAACTTCCTTGAACCCAGTATGAGGCCGTGTAAACACCCTTCATCCCGCCCTTATAAACGCATGACGCTTAAACCCCAAAACCTAAACCCGAAACCCCTATACCCTAAGCCTCAACCCAGATTTCGCCAGGCTGCGAACTCAACATCATGGCACCGGCTGCTGAAGACTTCGTCCAGGTTTAGTTTTTCATCCGTGCAGTTTTCCTGGCAGCATGCAATGCTGCCCGAGATTCCGAGTTGTCAGTTTGGGTGTGATAGCACGCGCACTGCTGCCCAAGGCAAGTCGAGTGCAGAAATATCCATCCAAAGCCAGGCGTCATCGCCCCTATAGCTGTTCGTTTCGAAAAATTTCATGCGCCCACCTGCACAAGTCCAAGTTTTGAAAGTAGATGCCATTTTCAGACCACGGCTCTCGATGGTATGCCGGGGTGGCGAGGAAGGTGAGTTTAGGTCAGCTCTAGACTGCACCCGACCCCCGTGACTGGGATGTACCGACATGCCAACATCAGCTTATAAGCGACAGGATTTGCCATAGGATAAGCCCTTGGGTCCCAAGGCCAATTCAAGGAGTCATCTGAGAAGGGCAACTCCCAGCATTCTAGGCGAGCACTCGTGCTATCAGAATATACGGAACCCCTATGTAGAAGCTGTATAACATCCTCAAGATACGGGCCCCCTCTAAACCCTAAACGCCACACCCTAAACCCGCCACGCCCTAAACCCAAAGGCGCCAGGGCTTCTGCTTAGAGCGAAACACAACTGTAGACGCGATTGTAAGTCGTCGAACGGCCTAATCTCGGTGTGGCAAGCGGCCCGGATTGCAATGTGTGCAGGGCACTACTACGTCGCTGCGGGTCTGTGCAGACCCTTCGGAGATTGAAGATTCTGGTTCCAGGTTTCGGAAGGAGTCATGATTTTGGTCCACTTTGGGTCAGAGCAACTAGCCGGATTCGGAAGTGGGCGTTCAAGTTGTTACACATAAGCTGACATGGTGCTTGATCGAACAGAGTCATCTCATCAACCGCAATTTCATATACAAAGTGGTTCCGCTTAAGATCAACCTCCCATGACACGGCAGTGCCACGTGATGTTCAATCTGCATAGCTGAAAAAATATGCAGAAACAATGGACTTTTTTGCTAGGTCAGGCGCTGCTTTCCGCCCGAAGGGTGTGATGGCAAGGTTTGTGTAGTGTGGAACCCTGCAAGGCACGTTAGCTCAGGCGCGTGTTAAAATTCCGGTTGTCGCATGGAGTTCGTGGCACCTTTTTGGATGACGGATGGCGACCATAGTGGGCACCTGGACGGGCTGAGGGTTTGAAGCCGGTACCGAAATAAAATGCTTCCCAAGGAGGATTCGTGTTTTCTTTGGACAGGACGCTTGGGCTCAGGGCTTTGACAGAGCATAAACTCCAAAAGCCCGCTTGAAAGGCCCCTGATCTGAAACTAGAAATTTTAGCACCACCGCCTGGTGGAGATGTAGGGATCGCCCGCCTGGCTACCCAAAGCAGGGAAGCCCAGAGACAACCCGGAAATTTGGGCTCTGGAGCCGGTGGCTGGGCTTTTCTGGGCTTCTGGGCTCTGATGTAAACTCTTGGGTATGCGATGCGTTCTAGAAGTTCCTCTTCAAGGCATCGCCACTCTACTTGTTTGCTGATGTGGCTCTTCGGATGAAGTTTGCGGAACGTGCACTTTAACAGCGAGAATCTTAAAGGTTCTGAGACTCCTGGGCCCGTTTTCTTTGACCTTGGCTCGAAGCTGGGCCTTTACTGTTTCGTGACCCTTTCGTATCCTTCAGTCTTGCTTTTCGCGAGCAGCAGCCTGTACGGGTCGGGGTGCAGTGGGATTCGAAAGCAGCACTTGCTGCTAGAAGTGACACACCGCCATGGCTTTGCGTCTGGGAGCTTTCCTCGCCTTCGGCGTGGCGGCTGGCGTCGCATCGATTCGGAAGGTCCGCGGCTGAGATCCTAAACCCAGCACAAACTATTGTTTACTTCCTGATTGAGGGTAACACTTTGACGCAGTCACTTGGATATAGAGTTCTCCACCGACCCAGCTTATGCTGGGGCCATATATCTTGGTCGCGGTTGTGACCTGCAGCAGGTTTCACCGTAGGAGGCGGCTTCAGAAATACACTGCAGGGTTGAATTCGGATCTTCTCGACGTGTTGAAGTGCCAGCTGCTGAAGGGACTTTGACATGGTGTCGGGATCACGATTTTGCAGTCGATGTATTGTATCTATATCCCTACGTGAAGAATCATGGCCCATGGCAAACACTTGGAAGGTCCACGTTGTGTCTTCCAACCATCTGGACATTGGCTTTGACGGCATTCCCGAAATCGGATACGACAACAACGTGATCAATCGGTACTTCTCGGTTTACTTCCCTAGAGCCATCGACACTGCCAGCAAAGTCCCCTACGTTTGGATGACGCAGTCTTACCTGGTCTCGCTGTATCTGGACTGCCCAAGCGGCATGGGCTTGAAGTGCCCTTCGCAGGAGGAGCGGCAGCGCTTCGTCGAGGCAGTGAGGGCGGGGCACATCGTCTGGCACGCCTTCCCCCACAACGCGCAGCCTGAGTTCATGGACCCCAAGACCTTCGCGGCGGGGCTGCAGCTCACCCACGGCATCGACGACGCCCTGCAGGTGCCCCGGAAGACCGTCCTGAGCCAGCGGGATGTTCCGGGCATGACCAGGAGCGTTATCCCCATCCTGCGAAGCAACGGTGTGAAGGCCATCAGCGTGGGCAGCAACACCGGCTCCTCGCCACCCGCGGTGCCCCGTCCTGGTGTCTTCCGCTGGAGGGACGAGGCATCCGGCACCGAGGTTTTCGGCATGCACCATGCCGGTGGTTACGGTGGCATCCAAGTCTCCGACTGCGTCGTAACGCCGGGCTTCGACGAGGCGCTCTGCCCTGACTGGCGAGGGGACAACTCGGGCCCGGCGCAACCGCAGGAGTGGACCTCCGATCTGGACACCGTCAAAAGGGAGTTCCCTGGCGCCGAGGTCGTGCCCAGCACCTTCGATGCCTTCATCCAGGCACTGGAGAAGGCAGCACCAAAACTGGACTTGCCGGTCGTCACGGCAGAGATTGGAGATACTTGGATCAACGGTGTGCAGTCAGATCCTCTGAAGACGATGAGATACCGTGCCCTGCAGCGCGCACGCACAGAATGCTTCGAAGCCATGCAGTGCACGGTGCAAGACGCTTCCGTGGCGAACTTTACTCGCTTCCTTCTGAAAATACCGGAGCATACCTGGGGTGTGGACATCAAAACGACCCTCCACGACTTCAAAAACTGGAGCAACGAAGCTTTTGAGGCTGCGAGGAAGGGTGATAACTACCTGCAGACAGAGCTGAGCTGGCGGCGACAGCGTGACTACCTGCATTGGGCCCTGGAGGCTTTGAGCCCTGAGCACCCGCTCGTGCTCCGAGCCAAGCGACAGCTGAGCCTTGGCCGCTTTCAGTCTTAGGTGTCCTTCCAGGTGGCCTGGGCCCTTGCAAACTTTAGCACAACTGACAGCAGTACGGAACAACTTGACGACAGTTCGGATCCAGCTCTTTCTTGAAACATTGCCTAGTCTTACAAGTCTTGTTGTTCTGGCTACTCACACTGCTACCATCTACATGTCAAACCAAACTGCAAGAATCATTTCTTGTTTTCATTTTCAAGATAAGCAGCTTTTGCTGCCAGTGCAGATCTGTTTAAGCTTCTCCTCCTGCCTGAACCCGAGACCCCACACTCAAAACCGTAAAGCATCAACCAACCCCAAATCCCTGATCCCAAAAGCCCGAGCTGTGTAAATCCCAAATCTTACGCGGATGCATCATGATAGGTACTCCACAGAAAGTTGAAGCTGTGATATTGCTGCGTATAACTCCTTGAACGGCCTAGAATTCGGAATGTGCCTGCATGGTGCATCATTTACCTCAAATGTGCCTGGTAACAAGATAGGGAATTCTTCACAAGATTCTTTAGTACCATGTTTTGCCGCTAAGAAACCATTCTCCGCAAAGTTGTATGTTCATGGGGAGTCACGTAGCCGTGAAATACCAGACAAGGCATGAGGGCTCATAGAACAGACCTGACCTAAGCTGGATGGGAGCTCATAACAGCCATGCGAAGCTCGAAAACCCTGGACATGAGTATGAACAGAAGCGCACATGTAAGCTGACACATCCATGTGCGGGGGGGGGGGGGGCATGTGTAAGTATGTATTTTTACGTACATACACACACAACTTTTGGTGCAGTGTAAAGGAACTGCACTCCCATCCTCTTGTTCGGAGTTGCAAAAAAGGAGCCTCCTGCAGCCCGGGCCCCCAATCGGAGATGCGCCGCCGCCGGGCTTCCGGCGCCTAACGCCGGAGGAGCTGCAGCAGCCGCTGGTTGTTGGGCAGCTGAGCACCACGGCCTCTTCATGCATGCAGATGTGCGGATGCACATGGCATCATTGCATGTACGTCGTGTAACATAGACCACGCAGCTCGAGGAAGGGGTTTGTTTCTCAGCTGATGCTTCAGATGCAGCCCGACCGACAGCATGCTCTGTTCTTTATACTTGATAGCCTATAAACCTACCTGCTACAAATGACCTGTTCTGCGCCAGAAGTGCAAAAATGTGTGTGTGTGTGTGTTGTGTGGCATTTGGCTTCCTGGTCGGAGAGATTCTGTGAGGTATCGAGGTGGAACCTGCAACGGGCTCACTACTGGCGCTATCCTTTCAGAGCGGGGCACGTTGGGCGGATGCCGGCACGGGTCCAATGTTTGGTTTCCAGTACTCCACGTGCCTTGGCTCTCTGAAGAGTGGGTACTGGGAGGTGGTTTCTTGAGGGGTTCGAGGTCCACCGCTGTGACCATGGTAACTGTTCCCCGTCTTGGGCTGCAGAGTCCCCAAAGTACTCGTAAGTTGCGATGTAACCAGGCGTGTTATGCCCTTCAGTCCCTCATATCCAGCGCCGCTTCTTCGCGATGTGTCCGCCTAGCTTCAAGCAGCCTGTCCTGCTGCCGTGACGAAGGTACAACGAGGAGGATTACGACATCATCTGGAAGCATTACGCTTGGCAGGCCCCCAACATCCAGGAGTCCGGCGAAGCCTTGAGGGAGCTGAAGGGTCAAGTCTTCCTTAAAGTTTAAATTAACCTTAGACGTATTGGATTTTTGTGTAGCTGCTCTCAGGATGATGTTTTTGGCTTTTCGGCCTGGGTCCATGGGTCCAGGAGTGGTTCATGGAGGACTTCGGCAAGCCGAACTGCAGCAAAGACGCCAAGACCTCACGGGCCGACCATACGCCCCAGCTCTCCGCAGCTTTCGCAAAAGAAGCCGTGGACGGCGGCTTCGAGGCGGCTTGGGCCCCACACGCACTTAGACAAACACTGTGCAGTGGGATGGTAATGTGGTTTCCCTTTTCTCCTTTGCATGTTTTCTCCTGTTCCTCTGCTTCTTTTAACATTTGCTGCTGCTGATGATGATGCCGTTGTTGTCGTTCGTCTTCATCCCTGTCTTGAACTCCGTCTTGTGGTCCACAACCCAAAGCCCCGTAATGACAATGACACCCGAAAGCCTCCAAACCTTCAACACTTCGGCTATACCCTTAAATCCTCATAACATGGATCCCGGCCCACGCCCCTTGGAGGCCCTGGTCCTCCGCAGCGTCCTGGACAAGGCCGCGCACGCCGAGGCCGGCGCCCCGGCCTCCCTGGAGCTGCGGCTGCAGGCCCAAAGCGCAAACAACCTGGAGGCAGGGGCGGCTCCGGAAAGGTTTTTTCAGCCAAGGGCCAGGAGGGCCTTTTCGTGCACGAGTTTTGAGGAGCCCTGCGAGGCTTCATGCCTGGAGTGTTGATAATGGTCAGTGTCATCCGAAACCTTGGGAATCAAGGGGCTTTTTGAGGTTCAGGTGATGCAGCCTGGGCATCATGCGTAGTAGGGCATCCACGGGGGTGAAGGCTCGAATACAGTGTAGGGGCCTCCAGTTAGCAATTCTCGGAAGGAAGGAAGAAAGGCTTTGTGGCGTCTTGATATGGCCAGGGCACATGATGCTCCAAATGTGCTCGGTTTTTGCAGGGTAACTCTTTCAATGGTTCACCTCCACCCGCCACTTCCTGCCTGCTCTTGACAGAATGTCCAGAAACTATCTTCAAGAAGCCTTTAGCAATTGGGTCAACGTTTCAGGCAGTGTAGTTTGTTCGCATGTTAGGGTTCGAGGTGACGGTGACTTGCATTGAGGTTGCGGTTTTTTCTGACGCGGTTACATAATCTGTTGAACAGTGAAGCAAAGGGACCGGAGATAAGATCTCCAGTTGTAGCTGATGAGACATACATTCGCACCCTAACGCCTCTACCCCTATACCACCTTCAGCCTTGAGACCTGGGCCTCACAACGTGAAACCCCTACACCTTATAGCCATCCTGGAGTAGATAGGACAGGCATCCTGAATCTTGCCTACATGACCCTGTATGTACGGATACGGATGCTTCCAGACCCGTCAACTTTAGGAAATCCTGCAAACCCAAAGCCCAGGCGTCTCTGACCTGGCGGTCGAAGACGCCCACGAGATTGCCGGAGGCTTCCTGGCTTCGCATAGGCGTGCCGGCAGAGGCCTCAGTGCGGCTGCGAAAGCTTGGTGGCCTGGTGGACCCGCAGACCGGCTGGGTTTTAGCAGCTTTGGGGGTTACGCCACAAAGCGTTTTCAGGGGACTCTCCGAAAGAGGTTCCTCATTCCCGGGTTTGGGATTCCGTGAATGATGGCTCACCATAGAGAAGCGATTTCTTCAACGGCTCGTCGGAGGGCTCCTATGGGTCCTTTCTAGGATTCTCGAGATCAGTCTTTGTGGGCCGTAGAAAAGTCTTGCCATTGTCACTTGCCCTTACCTTTCCAAGACATCCTCATGGATGAGGTCGGCCCTCTCCGGCTCATTCCCCCCAATCCGTCGAACAAAATGACCAAAGAAGCCACCGCTATTCAAGCATCCCCCTCTGAAACCCCAAGCCCGGACCTTGAGCTTGAAACCCATATCCATGACGACATTACGCCCAAACAGGCGAAGCCACAAACGTGCATGTTCGGTTATTGATCCAAGACACCAACGGCCAGCAGCCGTGCACCTAAATCTGCCAACTTTCCACCCTGAGTACAGTGTCCCCCCGCCCAGACAGTCTAATGCAGTTGAACTATTGAAGAATATTCCGAAAATCACAAGATGAAGCCCTCTGTGATTTCAGGTCTGTTCTTAAGTTAGTGATACTGAGCTTCCCTGAGATTCAGGCAAGACGTCATCCTGAACGGTTCACAGGGCCTCCACGCCGTCAATGACGGCGGGGTGGAGCTCAAACTGCCAAGCGGCGAAAAGCTGCAGTTGCCGGCTTGAAGTGGAGGGGTTCAGGTCCGGGCTTGGCCTAAGCTCGACACCAGTTGCACAGAATTCCTGTTGTTGTTCCTTTGTGATCCTGTGGCGCTTCATGAACGGAGCTCATCCTGACGCTGAACAGCAACTACCAAGGTTGGAGACCCTCGACGCCGCGCTGGTGTCGCCGGGTGAGCCCACGCCCTTCCCCATGGGCTACCGGAAGCCGTCCAGACAGATCAGCTTCAACCTGCACAACAACATTTGGGGCACTAACTACGTCATGTGGAGCCCCACTTCTATCGAGGACGGCGAGGCTGACTTGCAGTTCCGCTTCCGAATCATGCAGACAGCGCAGCCGAAGCCAGGTGCGGACGTGATGTTCGCCTGAACCTGCGATCCATGCATCTCTGCATCTAGGGGTGGCAGCTTCCTTCGTTTCGCCGCCAGCCTTTGATGCGAGGGACCGATTCTGGCTTCGAGCTCGAACCCTTCCCTGCGAGCTTATAAAGGAATCCATCTGTGCGGGGTTTTCAAGCATGGCTGGTCTTGAGGCAAACACCCACTTGGACATGATCTCTGCGGCTAGCGAGGGATTGTCATGTAGTATCCGCATGCGTCGGCGTCGGGTTCTTCAGCGGAGATTCGTCGGTTATTACGGATTCATCTAGTCCCCGGTGGTTGCGGCGTGCGGGGCACCTCGAGTTTTTCGGAGATGCTCGAAATTCGTGAGTTTTTGGGGGGATCCTGCATGAAGCCGAAGGCATTTGAATGACAGAGACGAGGTATCGTGCACTTCGATATTCTGGGGATGAACGCCTGAATCCTCAAATTTGGGGACCTCTCTCTGTGGGGATCCTGCGTGTCGTGTTTTGGTGGCCACGGTCGTAACACAAAAGCGATGTGCCGTCCATTTCGACCGGTTCCATCACGAATCGAAAAAGCTGAAAACTCGCAACTCTACAGTGGGACAAGCGTGTAGTCGTTCAAGTCACAAAAAAGGTGAGTTTGTGTCCGAATTGCAACCAACGAGGGATCGTGAATTTGGGATTTTTTGCATGGTCTAGAAGGCTCTGCAAAACCGAAATTGGCGACCTTTACCGTGGGAGTGGAGGCGTCGATACTTTGGCTCAACAGGGCTATAGAAGCATTGCGGAAATTGGACCCCTCATCGAGCATCATTGCTTTTTCCTGGTTATCTCCTGTCAACATGTTTGCTACGTTTTGCTTTGTCAGGGTTTGTGTACGTCGGGTCTCCAGTACTTGGGGGATTTCGGCATCGTTCCCGAGGGTCCTTGATTTCGTATGCGAGTGCCAGAAGGTGGCTGGTGATGTAATCTAAGACCTGCGGACAGGCTAGTCACGGCACGCTCAGTTTAACAGCGAGAATCTTGAAGGTTCTGAGAACCCTTTGGTCTTCTTCTTTGACCTTGGGCTCGAAGCTTGGCCTACACTGTTTCATGACCCCTGTCAGCATCCTTCAGTTTTGCTCTTCGCGAGCAAGGAAGCTCCCAGAGCCTCCGTATCACAAAATGAGAAGCAGCCTGTACGGGGTAGGGGTACGGCCGGATTCAATAGCAGTGTTTGTGGTTAGAAGTGAGACAACATCATGGCTTTGCGTCTGGGAGCTTTCCTCGCCTTCTGCGTGGCGGTTGGCGTCGCATCGATTCGGAAGGTCCGCGGCTGAGATCCTAAACCCAGCACAAACCATTGTTTACTTCCTGATTGAGGGTAACATTTTCACGCAGTCACTTGGATATAGAGTTCTCCACCGACCCAGCTTATGCCGTGGCCTGAAACCTTGGTTGCGGTTGTGACCTTCAGCAAGTTTCATCGTAGGAGGCTGCCTCAGAAGTACACTGCAGGGTTGCATTCGGGTCTTCTCGACGTGTTGAATTGCTTGCTGCTTGCATGAAGAAGCATGGTCCCACAGCTACCTGCCAAGGGCTGCAGCAGTCGAAAGTTGTGGAGAGGACCCGCTGCTGTTTTTCCCCTTTCCAGGCACACGCTGGCTATGTAATGGTCTGGACCTTGCCGAGCCCGCGCTACTGGGTTTCACGGTGCAGTGAGGGCGAGGCCCTTCGGTGTGTTGCACGCAGCGTGATCCAAGTGTCGAATTTGTTGTAGTTTGCTTTTTTTCCGGCATGTGGAGTTGGACAAGACTGGCCGCAGTCATTCTCGTATCTCATCAGCCCGTGCAGGCAGGTTGAACCTTGCCAGGAACGGTAGCTTAGGTGCATGTTAATAATCCGGTCCCTTGCATGGAGTTCGTGGCACCTGTTTAATGACGGCTGGAACCCGTAGCGCGCTTCTACTCCTGAGAGGGCCTGGTCCACCGTGCGGACCTGTATTTTGGACATCTCATGACCGGACAGTGCTGACCGAAAAGCAGGTTCGACAGGAACAGGCTTAAGGCTGTAGATCAGCTCACTCTAGCCAGCAAGGGTTGCAGCTCACCACTTCGACGATAGGTTCCAACTGGCGAACGGCATCAACATGGAAACTTGTATTTGCATTCGCATCGCCGCAGGCTTCGCCAGTATGGAAAGGACAAAGTGGTAGACAAAAGTTGGCACAGGCTGCTTCTGGTCTTGACCACACAACACCAACAGCTCTTGCGCTTCTGTCCGGTGTTCCAATGCTTGCCCACATGTCATGCGCGCCGCCGGGCGAGCTCGATTCCGACGGCTTTGACAGCAACGTGGAGCGCTTCTTGGTGTTTCTTGGTTAGCCGCCGGTGCCATTGATGGTAAAATGCTTGCCACGAAAGATCGTATCGAACATGAAGTGGGAAGCAGGGCAGGTCGGTTTTGGTTTCACTGTTAGAGAACATACTGTTCCGTCGAAAACTGGCAATCATGAGGTCTGGGGTTTCTGGCTAAGCATGCTTTGGATTTTGTTGGGTAGGAAAGGTGGCTGACGGTGACCCCCCTCCTCTTTCAAGAAGGCTGTGCGACCTGCCCCTTGAGTGCTGAATAGAATTCGGGCTTTCCACTTCTCCTCTTCGAAGAGCGGGCGCTCCCCAGCACTTGAACCAACCCTCAAACCTCAAGCAATTTCATGCCCAAACGCTGAGCATGTCCTGGCACACCTGAGGTCTAGCCAGGTTGTACAGCGAATTGGACGCGCAGTGCCCTGGCTGCACACTTCCGTCCCCTTCTCGCTGCCGGAGAGCGAGCGGGTCTTTTCCGCATAAGGAAAAGGCAGAGAAACTTCTATAATTGAATGGAAGCCCGAGCCGCCACAAGCCACTTCCATCCAAGCTCGGGATTTTCTCCATGCCTTCAATAATAAAGCAATAAGCAAACAGGGAACGTAGTCATCTTGGGATCCAACAGCCTTCCTCCTGTCTGGACCCGACTTGTACATGAAAGAACTGCACGAGACACACTGAGTCTGTCTACCGCGTTTCAGTTTCAGCTTGTTAAGGTTTTTCTCAACCGCATGTATGAAGTGCTCTGGCACTTCTAAGTCCTGGTGCTGCTCACGACTGTTCCAGGATAGCGACAGGATAGTTTCATTTCTAGATCCTTTTCCAATGATTTGGCAGTCGCCTTTTGTGCCTCCGAGGCTGCTTCGGGCCGTTCCACTGAATGTTTGCTTGGCCGGCTGGGGCCGTCATTTCAGCAACTCCTATACAGGAATGTGCCTCCTCTGCATGCTTCAAGTGAGAGAGTTTGGGGTTCTGCGGGCCAACTTTAAAGCACTTTGCTTGAAATTGAAAACACGGCTTGGGGTTTCAGGTCTAGACGTTTAATTCTAGCACAGCCAACACATGAAGCATACCTTTAAGCAATGTAGCAGAGACGCCGCAGCAAATTCATATTGCAACTTGGCCTTACGTTGACCCAATTTTACAGCATGTCCCCAGAAGTCGATGGTGCGATTTCAGTAAATTAGGCGATGGGTATGTGCTCGAATAAACGGATGTTTGGTACCGTCGGCACTGCGGAAAGGGTGTCGAGGGTGGAGTTCGCTGCGCTTTTTGTCTTCCGCAAGTTTGTGGGGTTGCTGTATGCTGATAGAATGCACTGTTAGCAGTGCCAGGGGCACATCTGGGTAAGCACGATCTTGTCGCGGGTCTTCAAAGTCACGTTGTACAAACATGGTTACAGAAACAGTGAACCCTGCTGAGGTTCTCCAGTGACCCTGCAAACGATGATTTCTGCCTCAGCCAGAAGGTTGACGGGAGGCTTGGCTTTTCTTAGGTGTGCTTCACTTCCGGATCTTGTGCCTGCTTGGCATGCGGGTGCTGCGGCCGAGACAGCTCACTGAAAGGAACCATGCAAACCACAAGCGATGTCCTTGAACCCGCCCAAAACCTGTGAATTCCGTTTGCTTCTCCTTTTCAGTCGTTTGCCTTTTCTGGCACTGCACGGTAGCTTCCACGATCTTGGACATGGCAGTAGTATCAATTCCGTGTTCACTGTGGTCCTTGGTATTTTCCTTTCCACTATAGTACTCTCCATGGTCTCCACAAGTAACCGAGTCCGAACCGGGCAGCAAAGGATGGACAATTTTATCAGCCACGATTGGGCAACAGCTCGGTTCTTGAAGGCGCACTCGAAGCAACCCAAAAAGTAGGTCGAAAGGAGGTCGGGTTTATATTGCTGCTTGTTTGGTGAGTGAATAGGGGCTTCCTTAGGAAAGTTGGTGAGCATAAATAGCAGATGTCGTTTTGGGGATGCCGACAGTACAAGCCACAGGTCACACGAGATCTTACCTTCGTCTGTGTACCCCATCCTGTTGCAGCCGGGGCTCGGTTGAAGAGTTTTGCGGGAGCTGGGCCGACCGCAGGCCGACGAGTCTATTCCCAGAGTGCAATTCCAGAGTAAGGCGAACAGCGTCTGCACTTGCTGTGTTGCTTCCTTTCATGAAGCCACTGCCGTCCAGGTGCTGGCTCTTGCCTGGAGGTTTAACATCCGCGTTGCCACCATGGCAACCCTTGTTGTCAGTTTGATGGTTGGCTTCCTTCGCATCTATGGAATCCAAGCTGCATTTGTCACTGACAGATGCGTTCGTCCTCCCTGCCGTCTACTTAGGGCTTGCTTCTCGTAGGTTTTTTGTGGCGATCAAGGGAGTAGTATACGGCTTTTTGTTCTTGTGTGTTGGGTGGGGTGTCGAAGAAGGCAGCTCGCTATCAGTTCGGCGTTTCTTGATAGCTGCTTGTACAGGGTTTTGCTGGGTTTATCGGGGTGTATGTTATGCGGAGACTTGAGGTTTCGGCTATCGGGAGCTCGGAGGTCGGGTACAGTTTTGCCAAGCCCAAGCTAGCCAGGCTTTAGCCATTTCATGGTTCGCCGTGGTCTTTCTTCCCCTTGTGGCTACTACGTCCAAGTTCATTCACCCTTAACAAACTAAACCTGACGACTCTTCCGAGCCTGTGCCGGG